ATATATGTATATATATATTTATATGTATATATATATGTATGTATATATATATATCCATATTTGCACACTTCTGCTCGGTTGAAATGATCCCAACTTCCCCGGCAGGTACCCGAGCCCCGGCGCCGTGCCCGACGCCCTCTCCGCCGACTGGCTCTACGAGGAGCTGGCGGCCCAGTGGGCGGAGCTGCTGCCGTCGCTCGACAACTCTACGGTGCTGCACGCCGCGTTTTACTCCGTCTTGGTCAAACCCGGCTTCAGGATCATTGCGTTCAACTCCCTGTTTGGCTACACCCCCAACGTGTGAGTCTGTCTGTCTACACCCCCAAAGTGTGTCTGTCTGGCTGCACCTCCAAAGTGTGAGTCTGTCTGGCTACACCCCCGGCGGGTGAGTCTGTCTGGCTACACCTCCAAAGTGTGTCTGCCTGGCTGCACCTCCAAAGTGTGAGTCTGTCTCCAATGGGAATAGGTGGCTGCTTGGCGGCTCGCTTCTGACAGGAAAGAGAGCAGGAACCGTGGAGGAAAAGTGGGAGGGGCTTGCTGGGCGGCGCTGCACGTGGCCTTGGCAAGATTAGGTTTTTCAGACACGAGGCACGAGGGACAACGATGGGAACAGAAGTGGCACTATAAGAGAATATGCGATTATTACAATATAGATAATCAGCTTGCCCACATGTCCTATGCCACAAGTCAATAATTAATTGTCATCTTTTCAACTGATAAATTTATATCTCTAATAACTCAATATTTTTTTTTAGTTCTTTATCATTCTTATCGTTGTCATTATTTCCATGTCATTCTACCCTTGGCTTAGTGCGTGTCCTTCCTTGTGTGAACATACAACAGGCGGTAAAACCCGGTGCTGATAACTAAGGGAATGATGGTGATAGCAAACTGATTGCAGTGATAGTAATGGTATTACTAAAATATAATATCGATAATGATAAAAGGTGATGATAATGACAATGAAGGTGATAGTAATGATAATGATAATAACAATAATAATTATAATGTTAACAGTAACAGAAAGGATGAATATGATAGTGATGATAGTTGTAGTAGTAGTATTGATGATAATGATATAATAATGATAATGATAATAATAATCATAAAAATAATAACAACGATAAAAAAACTATAATGAAAATGATAATAATATTAATAATAAAAGATGGTGATGGCAGAAAATAAGGATATGAATGATAAGGATAATAAAATGGTAATTTTATTAACAATAATAGTAGTAATGATATCTATGATAGTAGCAATGATAGTGTTTATAATCATTATACTCTTAACAGTAGTAAGAAAGCTCCTAACCAAGCGTTGACGGCGAGAAACCCTCCTTCAGGTGGCTCGTGCAGGACTCGCAGGACCCAGCCGGCGTGCTGGCCTGGCTCGAGGAGGAGCTGTGGAAGGCGGAGGACGCGGGGGAGCTGGTCCACCTCCTGGGCCACGTGCCGCCGGGGATCCTGGCCGCGGAGAGGACCTGGTCCAGGGAGTATAACAGGATCGTTGTCAGGTGAGGAAAGAAGGAGTAGGGAAAGAGTGAGGGAGGGGGTGAGTGAGGGAGGGAGGGATAGGGAAAGAAGGAGGGAGTGAGGGAGTGAGGGAGGGAAAGAGGGGGGAGGGTTAGAGAAAGAGGGAGGGATAGGGAAAGGGAGGGAGAGAGGGGGGGTATGGAAAAAGGAAAAAAGAAGAAGATAAAGAGGGAGGGGGAGAGAGGGAGAGATAGAGAAAGAGGGAGGGATTGGGAAAGAGGGAGGAAGGAAGAGAGGGAGGGATATGGAAAAAGGAAAAGAAGGAGAAATAGGGTTGGAGGGAGGGAAAGATAAGGTGGGAGAGAGGAGGAAGGATAGGGGTGCTGGGTAGGAAAAAGAGCGGGGAGGGTGGGAGGGAGGAAGGGGAAGGTAGAATGGAAACGATGTAGAGGGGAAAAGGGGAGAGAGGGGAAAGGGGGACAGAGAAGGAATTAGGAGAGATAGGAGAGGGCAAAGAAGGGGAAGGGTGTGTCGAGGGAGATAGAAGAGGGAAGGAGGCGTTGGGAAAAGAAGGAAATAGAAGGAAGGCAAAGAGGAGAATACGAGACCAGGCCAAAAACTAAGAAGGGGGGAAGAGGGGATTAGAAGGAGTGAGGAGGTGAGAGGGAAGGAGTAGGGAGGGAGGGAGGGATAGGGAAAGAGGAAAAGAGGGAGAAATAGGGTTGGAGGGAGGGAAGGATAAGGAAGGGATGGAAGAGGGATGGGAAAGAAGGAAGAAAGGAATGGAGGGAAAGGGAAGGATGAAGAGCCGGAGGGATAAGGAAGGAGGACGTAGTATCATGTGGCGCCACCTCCACGGTGAGTTGATTTGCCCGTTTTGAAAATAGTTCCGGCTGCAAAGATGGCCGCGTAGCCGCCTGGTATGCTTGTTATTGGGCAGTGCGTGCCAGATGGTCAGTGTCTCTGGGTTGTTCATGGCAAGCTGGGCAAAGGGGCGATTCTCTGAGTCTCCATCGGTGCATATTGACCCGTTCTTCCGTGGACTGATCTTATCCTATTAGCCATGGTTCACTCTTTCCCAGTCAAAGAATCGAAGCCTGGCAGTGGTCTTGTCGGCTCGGAGATTAGATTTCCGGGAGACTTTGGTGCCACTCTTACCGCCATGCTGTTTGTGCGGTATAATTTACTTTCCTGGCGTTACTGAAGGGTTTGCGTGACTTGAGCGGTTTGCATGAGGAGCCAACTCTGACACACGTTGTATCGGAGTAGCTAAGTGTTGCTCTCTGATCTGTTTGATATTTTGGGTTGCAGCTTCATCCGGATTTGAGGTGGTTCAATTGCACTCATTACTGGGAGCGGTAGGTGTCGACTTGGTGGTTCCAGCAATGATTCTCGTGACTTTGTTTAGTTGCACATCAACTTTGGATGTATGGGCACTGCGACACCCAACTGGGGCACAGTACTAGGCAACGCTCAAGCACAAAGCCAAAGCTGAAGTGCGTAATACATTTTGAGATGCTCCCCAGCTGGATCCTGCAAGTTTTCTGTTATTTCTTGGTTTTATTTTTTATGCTGTGCTTTCTTAGCGTTTTCCGTAGGTCAGGATTCTGGCCAGAGGTACTCATGTTTTGGGTAAGGATCTGCTGGGAGTGGTTGTTCATAATGTTCGAGATGGTGTCCAGGGTTTGATTGGCTTGTCTGTTGTTCAGGTGAAATATAGTGGTTACAGTTTTCCTTATATTTATTTTCAGGTACCATTTATTGAAAAAGTTATGCGCTGTCATCTTACTGGAGGGTGGTTTCGACGTCATGTGCTCTTGGGGATTGATGTGCAATAGCGAGATCGTCTACACACCCAAACTTTAGGGATGTTTACTCAGGGATGTCTCTTAAATAGATGTTGAATAATGTTGAAGCCAAGACTGAACCCTGTGGAATCCAATTGCCCATTTTCCTTTTTTTTTTTTTTTTTTTTTCCTCTGAGACATGCATGGAAGTATCTTGTTCCAGTCATGGAACTAAGGAGACGAAACATCCTGTTGCATTTGATTATGCTGGCCAGTTCAAGCACTAACCTTTCCCGTGTCTCAGGCCGCCGATAGGGCAATGAGGATGGAGCTTGTTCCTTGTTGTGTTTCGAATCTACTTTCTATGTATGATGTTAAGGCTATGACTTGCTCTGATGCGTCCCTCTTTGGCCTAAAGCCTGCTCACTTAAGGGGCATTAGAGGCTCCAGGATAGCTGGGAGTCTAATGAGTATTCTCTCTAGGAGTTTAAAGAGGCGGCAGAGAAGAGATATCGGTCTATAGCTTGTTGGGTTATTTGAATCTTTATTAGGTTTTGTGACGGCAATGACTTGTTTCCATATGGTTGGGTACTTCGGTTATCGGTATTTGCTATGGCTAGGGGAAGGATGAAGAGAGGGAAGAATAGGGAAGGAAGGATAGGAGAGAGTGAAGAGAGGGAGGAATAGGGAAGAAGGGAGGGAAGGAGAGTGAATTATGTGTATGAAGGAGAGAAGAATATTCTTAAAGTAGGAACGACGTATTACTGTAACTGGGAAAGCAGAAATCCAGCAAAGTGAAAAGAAAAGGAAAATTAATCTTAGCCTCACCGCTCCCCTACTGACAAAGTAATGGCAATGAGGATGCGATAATGATAATGGCAGTAGTAATCATTATGACAGTAATAATGAGATCGTCATCATTACAATATCACTTTTTCAACGATTACAAAAACCAGTGAACTATATAATAATAAATGAAAATGAATGAAACAAAAAACATGCCTTCACACATCGCTCTTGCTCAAGAGCGCCCGCGAAGGCCGGCGCCCGAGGCAGCGAGCGAGGCCGGGCCCTAACGCCTCTCCCGCAGGTACGAGAACGTGATCCGCGGCCAGTTCTTCGGCCACACGCACTTCGACGAGTTCCAGGTCTTCCACGACGGCGAGCGACCCGTGGGCGTGGCCTACGTGGCGCCGAGCCAGACGCCGTGGTACGACCTCAACCCCGCCTACAGGGTCTACCACGTGGACGGGGACCGGCCGGACACGACCAGGGTGAGG